AAAGTGTTACAAATATAGCGATATAGGAAATCTCATAAAATTGCTATATAAAAAGCATTTGATGTGTTTAATATATACTCAACTGTCACACGAGATCCAAAATCTGAAACACGGTGTCGACTAGTCATGTATACATCTCATTGTATGCCAGCCAGATCCCAAAATTGTTGTAAAGACACCCACAACACGTCTTTTCTTCTCTTTGTCATCCATTTTTCAGCCAAAAATTTATATTTCCGACTCAATTTCCTAAACAAATTTCTAATGGCCCGTATGCACCATATAAAATCAAATTAAGAATAATAGAATTATTTTAAACCTTAAATAGATTTAGTTAAATGTATTTAAAGATAATTGTATTTTTTGTATGCACCAACTAACAAGTAACTAAATATATTTATCTGTACTGTAATTGAAATTCTATTTTCCATTCGAACCACACACTATACACAATCTATATATGACAAAAGAGTCTAAAGATTGGTCACTAAGACATATTTCTTATTTAACATTTTAGTCACTGCTTATGTAGTGTGGAAGTCTTGTAGTCCGAAACTCTATAGACTCTCATCTGGTGTCTTATATGATAATTATCAACAAGAGTAAGATCAAACGATATCTTCAATTCTATTCTTCGAAGGAGCAAATGAACGTCATAATAAATTTGATGTGGAATCCATGTCATGTTTCATTTTTTTCATTTTTTGATATTCAACACCGATTGCTTATTCAATCTAAACCTTGCTTAAAATTCCTCCTCCGAAAACCATGTGAAGGGGTCCAGGCGATCCCTGGCATGTCTATTGATGGGAATAACACGATTGATTTCACCAAGTTCATCTAAATCGTCGAAATAATCGTCCATTTTGAAACATCGAAGAGCCACAAAAGGAATTTCTATTGATTTACAAATATAGGGTTACCCACCCCTCCTTGTAGTCCTGAAGACATGTTTTTCGGGCAAAAATCTCATAACTAGGTTAGAAATTCGGGCAGCCTTAGATACCCCCCCCCCCCCCCCTTTCGGAGTTAAACCTGGCTGCGCCACTGAGTATAAACATAGACTACTTGTTGTTATATATTATAGGTAAACAGTTTGGTTATTTAGAGTTATTTACATGTCATTGTACAAATGATAATGATTGTAATTCTGATGGTAGTTGTCAGAGTAATGGATGTGCTAGGGGGTGGTATGGTTCTACTTGTCAAAAACGTAAGTCTTGATGTAATAGTAAAATCAAGATATGATTTGTGTATTTTATAGAACTTGGACATGTAAAATATACTGAAGGATACTAAACGAGTATTTGTTCAAAGTTGATCAATGTTAATTCAACGTCTGGTCGTCAGTGATGTTTCTGAGAAACATAAGATGAGGGCCCGAGCAGGGGCCACAGGAAATTATTTCACTATGTAAAATGATACAAAAATTGAAATCATTTCATTTACATCGTTCTTCTCAAATATCAATCAACTTTACATTTTTCTTCTATGACAACATTCTTCTTCTTCTTCTGCTCAAGAGACTCCAAGGACCTCTTCATGAGATATTGTAATCAGATCTGTTAGTAGATGTCGATGTCAATAGACAAATAAAAACCTACCAAATGAGAATTAATAAAAAGTTGCATGGTGTCATGCCGTATTCACCAAATGTGAGGACCATAAGAAAATTCAATTCAACAATTGTGTTCGATGTTGTAAATAAAGATTTTATTATGTATCTATAAACTATCATATAGTATTTTGTATACTCCTGATGATGAGGGAATTGTTACAACTTTCTACAGACAAAATATTATGTTGTTTATATTTATGGTATAAATATGTAATAATAAGTTTCTGTAATTTATCTTAGAGAATGTTGCATTAGGGAAACCAGCGTCTCAAGTATCACAATACGATAAGTTTGGACCTGAACTAGCAGTAGATGGTGATAGATCACAAAATTATTATAGATGTACGAATACTGGTTATAATAATAATTCATGGTGGAGTGTAAACTTAATAGATACCTATCCTATTAGACAAATACATATTTTATATAGACGTGGAGATTATCTGACTTATCCTGGAGATACTGATAATTCTACCGATGAGTGTAAGTAATTTACTTATTATTTATAATCAGTTTGTATCAACATGTCTATGTTATGTTCTTATTAATGCCCGTATGTTGTAATCAATGCATATACTCTGTTTTATGATGATGCAGTTATTGTCATTGATGTGAAGCAAAGTTTGAGAAAAAGAAAAGACAAACATAAATGTTTTACAATATAATGCTTCCTAAATTAAAGGTATACTACCTCTTAGAGGAAGAACAAAAAATTGAAATGTTTAAACTTGGTTAAAATGAATCTTTATTTATCAGTGGATTTACCTGGTTTCACAACCATACAACAGAATCTCTCTATAATCCAATAAATCCATAAAACTGAATAATATTTAATTAAATTAAGTAATTTTGAAATATGTTTAGAAGTGTGTTTCAATAACAATTTAGTTTAATGGATAAATCGTCTTATATAAAGATTGTATTCTTTAGTCATGGCACCTGGTAAATTCAACTGATGAATATAAATATACACTTGTTGACCAAATTTGAGACTTTAAATTTTATGTCCATTCTAAGAGAGCTAGTATCCATTTAAATAGCTAATGATCTTATCTAATGGTATATTACAGATCTGTACACTCTGGAGGAGTTTAAGATATATGTTACACAAGATAATGGTGTCAAAATAAAATAAATAATCTATACTAATGGTTTATTATAGATCTTTACACTCTAAAAGGATTTACAATAGATGTTATACAAGA